GCAGAAATAATGCACAGGAGGTCACTGTGTAGTAAGTGGCCCCCGGAGGCAATCACGCACAAACTCAAGTCAAAGCACTCACTTTCTAGTTTTACAAATAATCGTCACAGAAGAAATATTCTATACACACTTGGAACGCAAAGAGAGTAAAGAAGCAACAATAAAGAAGAAAGGAAGGGAACAGAAGTTCGGCAACCTGCAGCCATGTTCTAAGTCCCTAACCAATAAGCAATCTACGAAAACCGGTTGCCGACGAAATTCTAGAACCTTCTGGAACATTAGTATAAGTAGCCAATCACATTTCAAAGCTCAAGAACACAAACAAGACACAGGGGATGTAGGGACGGCTTCTTGTTAGTGTTCATCCCTTCCTCTGGAAGGTGTGTGTTCTGATAAAAACAACAAAAACCTAATGCAGGGCGGTAGCGACCACTTTTGGACTGGTCTCAGTTGGACATTTTACCTTTTAAAACTTGCAGTTAAGATGGTATCACCTAAACTTGGAGAAAGTACTTTTTTCTCGTCCGTCTTGATGATACTGCAAAACCATCAGATGATGGAGACGGCCTTGTGACGTCTTCAGGTGGCGAAATGCACGGAATAACCTCTCTAATGTGGAGTTTGTGGCCGGAAGAATAGACAGTCGTGTGGCAAAGCACTGAACCTGCACCCTTATCATAATCTAGGAAAGCCAAGATTGTGCCGTTAGGGCTTAGAAGCGCACATTACAGGCTTCGTTTCCTCGCACAATTGTTTTGGAAACTAAAAACATTGCTGGCTATGGGAATATAAGAAATCTCAGGAACAGATGCCTTCAAGGTTTTCGCAGCCATCTCCGACTCTCGATCAACATGAAGCAAAAAAAAACCTGTGCCGCCAGTCTGTCCCTGAGAGCCCTACATATAAGGCACAGTACATGCAGGTCTCCCTAGACGGTGCTGTGTACATAATGCACATGGTACTGCGCCCAATCGATCGCTGAACTCCCATCGGCTCTCTAGAAAGAGAAAAGGAAACTTCGGCCCGAAAAGTGGTCCGGTGAAACAAGGACCAACCAGACAGGTGGCTTTGCCCCCTGTAATCGCTTACCCACACATACACGCACCTACACACACATACACACACAAGCACGCACATACACACACATTCAGATATGCATATGCGCACATACAGACACATACACACATATACACACACATGCACACAAACCTAATGGCTTGCTGTCTTACCCTTTTCACATTCTTCACCGTAGGACATAGTGCGGTTACATACACAACTCATGCTTGGTGCAAGAACACCGCTCCCACAGGACTCTGTGCAGAAAAAGACAATAAAAGTCAATATCGGATTACTCTTATGCAGTCTATAACAGGGCTGCCACACTTGGAGGGAGAAAAATCTGACGGGGGTCTGGGGGGTCCCCCGGGTGAAAATATTTAGGAAAATGGCTTGCTGTTGGGGTCCCAGAACACATTTTTAACGGTCAACACATTTGCATTTTACAGCTACATGTACATGTACATGTACAATGACTGGACAAACGCGACCTGGAAGCGCCGAATGGCCAACTGGACTAAAAAGTGCTCAAAACAAAAATCGGTCGGTTTTTCCGACCGCGGATCAAAAATCGGACGATTTCCAAAAAAAATCGGAGCAAGTGGCAGCCCTGCTATAACACTAGAATGGGGATAATAGCTTATCTAAAAAAAACCTGTCACGCAGAATTGAAGGAACAAGATGAGTTGTTCTTGGGCTTTTACACCCACGGTACCATAGACCGGGATGCATGACAGCAAGGCACGGTACCATAGAACGGGATGCATGACAGCAAGGCACGGTACCATAGACCGGGATGCATGACAGCAAGGCACGGTATCATAGAACGGAAGCATGACAGCAAGGCATGGTACCATAGAACGGGACGCATGACAGCAAGGCACGGTACCATAGAACGGGATGCATGACAGCAAGGCACAGCACCATAGAACGGGATGCATGACAGCAAGGCACGGTACCATAGACCGGGATGCATGACAGCAAGGCACGGTATCATAGACCGGAAGCATGACAGCAAGGCATGGTACCATAGAACGGGACGCATGACAGCAAGGCACGGTACCATAGAACGGGATGCATGACAGCAAGGCACAGCACCATAGAACGGGATGCATGACAGCAAGGCACGGTACCATAGAACGGGATGCATGACAGCAAGGCACGGTACCATAGACCAGGATGCATGACAGCAAGGCACGGTACCGTAGACCGGGATGCATGACAGCAAGGCACGGTACCATAGAATGGAAGCATGACAGCAAGGCACGGTACCATAGAACGGGATGCATGACACCATAACACTTCCAACACGGTTTCTGAGCTCTTGCTGTACGATAGATACATCCGTATTACTGTGCAGTGCATACTGCAGATGCTCAAATGTTCGGAACTCGGCTTTCCCTGAATGGAATTGAGCAATCGAAAAGTCTATTTGCATAGGAAAGTTCTCAGCTCCGTCGGCAAATAGTAGGGTTACAGCCCTCGCCAGGGGTTTTACGTCAAGTAGTAAACTTTCACCTCCTCACGTGGTGACAGTCATGGGAATTCCCCCTGTTTCTTGACAACAACAAAAAGTGGTCTGTAAATTATCTCAACCCTGGTGGCATGTCGAACTTCAGCTTGTCATGCATTTTGATTCCTCGCAATTGGAATCCAGGGAGCAAATTCTCCCCCGTCTCTGCCGCAAACTGATATTGCGCCAAACAAAACCTTAGAATCAAAACATGCTGTAATGACTTCGAAATTACCCTGGGAAGACACAGAAGAAACACAGCCTGAATCTAAGTTCTGGGAGTGTTCTCAATGTTGTGATTCACCGTGGGTGCAAGAAATGCTGGGAGACGACATGTTTGCACATTGCAAGTGGGCACATCGTTGGGACAAGCCCTGTTCATACAGTGCACGTAGCGACGGGACACATTTACACAAACGCACAACTATCTTCATCACGTTAGCGGCACAAACAGGGACAAACACACAGCTTGTGCATGGACAGCCATCGCAGAAAACAGTCACTTATTATTCTCTCACTTACTGACACAGAGAATCTTGGCATCCTCATGGCTTGTTTTGTTCTTAAACGTCACATGTTGTCTGCTAAATTTTACTGTTCTGTAAAGGGACTGACCATTGACCAGGATTGGCGCGACGTGGTAACCTAATCTGTCGGACTTATCTAAAGCCAATCTCTCTAGCCAGCGTTCTCTTAACACATGGCCATGTTCTTGTAACCAGTCTTTGGTTATGAGGCGAAGTCCGTACTGCTGACATGCGTTCTCTGCGCACTGCTCAGTCACGCTGGGTCCGAGTGCTGGAGTTGCTGCGGCGTATACAGAATCGTTGGCATGGAGCCATTGGGCTGCAAAACAAAGGGCATATACAGTTGCGGGTGGAAACAAAAATAGGCGGAAGAGAACTAAGACAAGCGGCATCATTATTGCTTTAACGCTGCTTTTCGTGCAAATAGCAAGGCCAAAGCTGTGTTCATTTTTAGCTACCTAGTAGAGTAGAGTCACTCTACCGATAGGCCACACGTTTTTATTTCTATGTTTCTCGTCACCTGAAAATCTAAAAATGTATGCGAGAGGTGGAAAAATAAAAAATGACCGAAGAATAAAAAAAGTTTATTAGACCTTTGTTCACACTAAAATCCACAAATACACCATGCAAAACAGCATCCATAGTTAGCAACTAGTATGTGGTAGGCGCTTCTATCACAATCTGTGCATGTGCAGCTAGATTGCGCACAAAATGCCATCCTTGCATCATGTGTCGCACAGGCCAGGCCACATTGTGTACATGTTCATGAGTGTGCTGGTCCCCACATGCACAGTCAGTGCAGCACAGTTTTTTTTCTTTTTTTCTTCAAGACTCCTAAATCGTATGCGCGTGGGTGACAAGAAACATAGAAATAAAAATGTGTGGCCATAGAGGTAGATGGTAGAGGCAAGTGTACGAACGCTGTTCTACCGGATTTAGTAGTTTACACGATGGGTACGTGAAATGTTTCTTTTTTGTATGGAGTTGTGTACGAATCCTTGAGCTTGCTGGAAATCCCATAGCTCTACCGACTTCTACCGGATTCAACTAACTTCTTCCCGGTAGAGCCGGTAGAAGAAAGTAGAATTTACCCTTTTGAGTCGAATTTCTTTTCCAAAAACGAAAAACTCTACCGAAAGAAGTAGTTTCTACCCAAACCTGTAGATCAAAAACGAACGCCCCCCAAAGCAATCGTCAGACAACTGAAATTCTCGCTATTGTGAATTTAATATCGTGCTTGATGACACCCGATCTCTTGGATACGGAAGTGCCCAGAGCTAGTGAGTAGTTCAATGTTCACAGGTCTGGGGCTCGCCAGACTTCATAGAGCAGCACCGTGTCACATTTGCAAACCATTAAGCGGTTCTACCAAGGGAGTAGTATAACACCGGGTTATGACACAAGCATACGCATGAAATGCTTCTTCGCAGGTGAAATCAATTGGTTACGCATGTGTGGGTCTGACCCTGGCTATAACGGTAGGTGTGACATTGATGTGAGAAACCCAGGTGGCTGCACTCTTGTTGTCTCTTTGTTTCATACTTTCCTGTCCCGTCATTATCATTGGACATACTATCCTGTCCATGCATGCACTGTGTGCTACTCAGCATTCTCACCATTTGCCCGTCCAATGATATCGCTTTAAAACAAGCAATTGTTTACCTTCGCAGATGACATTGTGACGGCCGAACCCATGAACACTAAATATTGCACCACCCGATTTGTTCTTGTCCTGCTTGTAAATAATATGCCGACGATTGTACTCGGATGATGTCCATATCGTGATCGGGCTGCTGTTACTGTTCACCATCATCTCGTGGAGCAATGACTTTACGCACCCACGCACACAAAGCTTTGAGCCGAGCAAGGTGAAGGTTTTAAAGTCGACCAGCTGATATCCCCTATCACTGCATGCGTCTCTGGCTTTCCTCCAACTGGTTATCTTCGGGCACCTGCCAGAATAACACGGCAAGCCGGCGAGAGCCGTCCAGGTGTACATCACCTTGTCCGTACCCAGGCACTTTGTCCTGAAATCTGAACACAGCACAGTACACAGACATGTACAACATACTCAGGTACAGGAGAAAAATATTACGGTGGCCAAAAAACCCTTTCTGTCCGACTTGTGTTCAAATTTTCAAGGTTGAAGCACTATAAGGAAAAGCTGTTAATCCCATTATTTTGCTAGTGGGTAACGGATCCTTCTCTATATTTTGGGCCTGTGAAAGTCACACCCAGACATTCTCATTAATTTATGCGCTTTTACCAACAGGATGAAGGCTTGTACTAATTATGATATACCGTAGTGTCTTGTATTAAAGCCTATCTCATATGGAAGCAAACGGCGGGGAGACAATAATTTGATAACCGCAATAAAAAAAATTAGCTGAAACGAAATTTGTGTATTTTATTCACTGAAACAATTTACAAGTGTTGGAGGCTATCTATCAGCGTCTGTATAAGCCAAATTTGTGTGTACAGAAAGATAGTATAATTGGGTTGAAATTGTTCAAGTAACGTGTCGTGTTTGGTTCAGCCAAGCTTGGCCGTTAATGTTCTAGGTGGAATGAAGAGCACATGAAAACCAGAGTGTGCAGCTTGGGGCCTTTTCTGCTATGGATGTCTGTCACTGCGAAATTCCGTGATTACATCATACTTGGCCCAGATCTGAGGCGGGAAATGGCGTAGTGCGTACAACTGAGCTGCAGTTGTGCAGAAAGAGACCTGCTTGAATCCTGCTACATCACTAAAATGATGTAATCACGGAATTCTGTAGTGACAGCAACCCATCCGAGCTGCACACTCTGGTTTTCATGAACTCTTGGTGAAATGTTCTGCTTGTATGTGTTATCACTTTGTCCTTCCTTCTTTCTTTCTCTTGTTTGTTAATTTCTCTCTTTGATTGTTAAAATTCACACTTGTAAATTTCATTGCTGTTGTTCTTGGTGTTATTTCTCTAACCTAGATTTTCTATAAGAGTTCAATTTTGTTTCAATGTCCTTTAGTACAACGACGAATCCTGATGAGTGTTGTACGAAAACTTGTTTGAATCCATTTTTTTCTCCACACCATTTCTTCATATTTTCATCATTTTATTGCACATCGTCTCCACCGTTTTTTTACATTGCATGAATAAAATACAAAAATGTCGGTTCAGCTAATTTTATTGATAGCGGTTATCATATAGAAGCCTGTTTTGAATAGAGGTCTGATTTTCAGAATACACTGTTGGCACACAAGCCTGGTTTTAGTGTTGACGCACATATAAATACCTGGTTTGAATAGAAGCTTGATGTGAATACTGAATAGAAGCCTAGCCCTGAAATCGGCTTCCACAGGAATACGCTCGGCGGTAATACACGACACTACGGTGAGTACATTTCAATTCTCTTTCTGGAATTCTGGACCATTATGATCAAATGCTGGGGAGACAAACGCACTGGAATCAATTAATCCCATTTTTCTGTAAACAGTGGGTAAATGAGTCCAATAACGTCACATCATTTTAGCATTACTTTATGATACTAACTGTGTGGAATATGAAGTTCCTACAATGGAGTCTGCATGCCCTTAGGAAGGAACCTTTCGCTCCAAGCATCTACAGAGAGGTGGCAAAGCCATTGTTCTTAAAAAAAAAATAGAAAACGGCTTTGACTGTGAGTTTACTGAAAAGCAATACTTGTAGTCCAGCACTACTGCTCTGCTCGAGTAGAGTAATTGTGCATGTGCCGGTGTGTATTTGTGTGTGTGTGTGTGTGTGTGTGTGTGTGTGTGTGTGTGTGTGTGTGTGTGTGTGTGTGTGTGTGTGTGTGTCTGTGTGTCTGTGTGTCTGTGTGTGTGTGCGTGTGCGTGTGTGTATGTGTGTGTCTGTGTTTTTTTTAGTGAATGTGTGCAGGTGTGGTGTTACATACTCACTTCACATTGCAGATACCCTCATTGATTTGTTTCCGTCTTCTCTTTGGGCTTTGTTCATGATGGCATTTTCCTCTTTCTCTTTTTCTTATCATTATCACTATCTTCATCATTTTGCGAGAACTGTGGCAACACGCCCAGTGAGAAGGCAGATATTGCCTGTACTTCTGGTGAAGAAAAATATAGCTAAACAAAACCAAACAGAGACACTTACTGTCCTGACATTGGTCTCCCCGGAATCCGGTCGGACAGACGCAGGCGCCTTCTTCAGTACACTGACCATTATTCAGGCAATTGCATGCTGCAGCAGTGATTGGATGCACATATTTTCCAAAAGCAAACGAATAGTGGCAGAACAACATAGCATATCGGATTCTCGAGTTTGTTACATGTATCTTGCTCATCATGACACTGTACCCACCAGTACATAGCTACATGAACAGCCAGATTACAACACTCCCACGTAAATCCAACTGATGCCCATATGACTGTATCATTTATTGCACGTGGATAGGACAAAATTCCAGCCACTTTTAAGGTCACAGTACGTTGGGCAATCCGGCATACAAACTCGGAAGTGTATCTTTGGCTTCAAATACAATATAACGGCATGTATGTTCCCATGGGTCATACATTCTTTGACACGCTGGCACATAATAATATTATATTACAGCAGCTTTTTTCAGCCCTTACCTTCTGTGCAGTTAGGTCCATTTAGTCTGGGTTTACATTCGCATACTTTGTTCTTTTTCACCCAGGGATGTGTGCACACAACTGCATCGCATATCACAAGAAAGAGGGAGAACAGCCAGAGATTAGCCAGACACAAGAAGGACAGACAAGTGGACAGAGGGAAAAAAAATTAATAATTGTTTATTTTGAACAAACGACGAGGAGACAACAATTTGATAACCGCAATCAGCAATACAAGCCTGGATCGACATTTGTGTACACTTTATTCATGCAATGTAAAACAATGTGCGACAATGTGCAATAAAACGATGAACATGTGAAGAAATTGTGTAGAGAAATAAAATGGAAAGGGATTCAAACAAGTTTTCGTACAACACTCATCAGGAATCTTCGTTGTACTAAAGGACTCTGAAAACTAAATTGAACTTATAATAGAAAATCTAAGTTAGAGAAATAACACTAAGAACAACAGCAGTGAAATTTACAACAACAACAACAAAGACCGAAGCGAGAGCGACCTAGAAAACAACCGTTACCTACACAACTTGCGGGTCCTGGCTCACAGACTGTGCTTGCTTACTGATTGCGGTTATCAAATTATTTATTTTACTAGTATAAGAGGAAAACATGTACAGTTTGCGTGCGACTCGGCTAGAGGCCGAGTTTTCCACATCTATTGGAATACCCCACCCCTCAAGGGTCAAGGCTCCCATTCAGCTCCAAGAGGCAAGAGACTGGACAATTGACCAGGAAATTGTAACTCATTGCGGACGAATGAGCGTTTCGACCGCACAAAAATAGCAGGTTTGGTGATGCACATGTTCTTATTCCTAGCAAGAGCTTGATGAAACGGAATACTTGTTCTGTCGACTTTCACTCAAAATAGAAACTAGAACAAGGCCTGCATAATCAGGGCCAACCGGAACAACTCCAAAGCCTACACACAGTCAGGGGAGGCCATCTTCACACGAAAGGTATACTTTGAGAATTGCATACAATGTAAAGGAAACACTTGAAGTAAACAAATTCAAAGCATTTCGGAGACAGCAACTTTAATATGCCAACCAAGAGTACTAACCATGCATTATTACAACAGTGACAAACATGCGAGAGAAATGTGAATGTGAAATGTACATGTAAAAAGAAGCAGAAGTGTTCGGATCGGTAAGGAAATTCACTTCTACCAAAAGTCCATAACCCCAAGGGTGTGCAACTGGTTGTCTGGCTGCTGTAGGCCCACTGCGCGGCGAAATTCCAACATAACGTCATGCCACTGAGACACAGAGGACAAAACTCTGCATTCCGCGGTGCTTGGATTTTTTGTTTGGCACCAGGGAGTAGTACAAGCGCAACGAACGTGTACGTCATTTTTGACGTAATGTTGGAATGCCGCCGCGCGGACCCCATGTACAGAGTTGCAAACTCTTGGGGGTATGGACGCCTGCTTCTACTTACCCTTCTGGCAATTGTCTCCGGTGAATCCCTTCGGGCAGATGCATTTGCCTTTGTCGTCACACTGACCCTGGTTCAAACACTTGCACACTGCAGCAGCCACCGCATACACGCAACATGGCGTGAAACAGAGAAAATACACGGTTTGGTTACGCAATGAGCACACATATAACCGTTAGTAGATCTACTCGTAACAGCCATTCATAAACAAATATGATACAATTCGCCTGTGGGGATTGCCCATTTAAAAATTTAACCCTTTGGAGTCCATGGTTCGATTTCGAACCATGGGCATTTTGTATGCATGTGGGCGCAGTCAAACTTTCGGTTCTCGGCCAAATCTTGACCAAATTCAACAATCGAAGAGTCTAGATGGTAGAGAAAACTCTCAGCTACCGCCTCGAACAGGTCCGAAGTCTCGCCGATGAGGTTTGAGTAAGCGGTGAGCGATCAAACATTTCGCATTTTCTGCGCTGCGTTCTGCGAGTCAGCAGTGAAAAAAAGGGATTTTCCCAGCTTCATGACAGGCGGCACGTGGCAGGACCGGCGCGGCGCGAAGTCACGGCAAGGTAAGCTTCTACTCGAAAAAATTTGAACAGTTCCGAGCTAGATTCAGTGAAATGGTTACAGAAGACCGATTTCATCTCAGATCTGGAGCTGGACTCGCGTTTTGGGCGCGTTGTGGCGGACAATGAATAGTGCTCTTGGCAAGTTTGGGCTCATTGTATTTCTCTCATCAAGAGCTTTCCAACGAGCCCAAGATCTTCAAAATCGGTGAAGTAGAACCAAAATTATGTTGGAAATGGAGTGCGCATTTTCGTGTCTGCCACAAATTCTGCGGAAGCAAAAAAGTTACGGACTCCAAAGGGTTAAATAATAAGAATAATAATAATTAAAAAGCTTCCGTGGAGATAAAAATGTAATCAACGCAATAAATAGAGTAAGCTGCGCACTCAGTACAAACACCATAAGCAAAACTTGTTTTCATGTAAATAAAGAAGCTTGTTCCTAAACGTTTTCGTCGCCATCTCATCAGAGGATTACTGGCAAATCAACAAAAGCTCTTAACTCAATATATATACGCACAATGCAAGTAATAATTTAGACCCTAACTAGCGCGATAAAATGAGAGCTGAAGAAACATTACACCATTCAACGATATCAGGTATATATATTGAGCTAAGAGCTTTTGTTGATTTGCCTGTAATCCTCTGATGAGATGGCGACGAAAACGTTTAGGAACAAGCTTCTTTATTTACATGAAAACAAGTTTTGCTTATGGCGTTTGTACTGAGTGCGCAGCTTACTCTATTTATTGCGTTGAATAATAATAATAATAATAATAATAATAATAATAGGTCAGACTCGGATGTAAAGGCAAGGATTAAAATAGAGAGGACACAAGGTTTACAAGTTATGCGTTTTGTGCCAAACACTAACGACAAGTTTACATAAACCAGAGTGTGCAACTCAGGGTGGTTCCTGTGGGAGTGTAATTCGTGCAGTACGTCATTTCTGACCTCATGGTAAGCCACAGGTACGGTGAAAAGTTGCATAAACAGTCACAGTGGTGCAGGTTGCCGAGTTTGTTAGGCACATGCTATAATTTTATCGTATTGCTTTTAAAAGTTCAAGACATCTCACTTACTGACACAGAGGATTTGGGCTCGGTGATTGCTTGTGGTGTTCACAAACCTCTGTTTTCCCTCGCTAAACGTTACGGTTCTGAAAAGGGAGTTGCCGTTCACCACAATTGGTTTGACGTGGTAAGGTGCTTGCCGAATAGCCAATCTCTCTAGGAAGCTCTCTCTTAATACATGGCCATGTGCTTGCAGCCAGGCCCCGGTTATGAGGTGAAGTCCGTACTGCTCACATGCCTCCTCTGCGAATTGCTCAGTGACTTTGGGCCTCAGCGCTGGCGTTGCTGTGGTGTATACTGAGGAGTTGGCGTGAAGCCACTTGGCTGCAAAACAAGGGCACATACAGTAGGCAATAGGGAATACAGTCGTCCCTCTCTAATCCGGCACTCGTTTATCCAGCACCCTTGCAAACCAGCACACTTTCTGGCAAAACGGATTTTTTCAGTTCTTTTCTACCCTTTAATCCGGCACTTGAATTCCGCCTCCAGCAGCGATTTTCTGCAACAAATCACTCAAACTGAACATAATTTGATTTTCTAATCCAGCAGTTGTGCATCGCATACTGTCAGGGACCATTGTAACATACACAACACATGTAACATACCGACGAGGAGACAACAGTCGTAAAATAGCAATGAAAAATATCAATTGTGCACTCATAACCATGTATAAACAATTAAAATGAAACAATTCCAGAACGTTTTCGTGTGACCATCATCAGTGGAACATCGTCACATAGTAAGAATCACTAAAACAACCAGTTATATAGCTAGAGTAATATGAAAAGAAGCGTGAGAATGCAGCACAGCTAGCGGTTATGCATAACGCGTGTAGTGTGAACCTTTGCAGTGTATCTGAGAATGGTAGCAGTAGATGAATGTGGCAGCTGTGAGTGCGTGTGAACAAAAACTGGTGAGTGCGTATTATTTAAAAAGTGTGAGTGCTACAACATTTTCTTTTTGCTTGCATAGAACAGGGTCACGTGTGCGAATATATACAGCTTCCAACACCTGCAACTGCTTAAAGAAACGCGCGCGACAAATAACACTAAACCAGGAATCGTCAAACAACTTACGACAATCCGGACTGGACACCAAATGCTTGTAGATGGCAGACTTGCTCTTGTCGATGTCGAACCCCTCCTCGTCCGTATCACTCTCATCCTCCACTTCCTGTTCCTGCTCACCCTTGCTTTCCTCCTGACCATCCTGTTCATCCCCATCATCATCCTCCATCTCCATCTCCTCATGCCATCGCTTCTTTCCCCTTGACGTGTTCACTGCTGCGCCCGTACTTTCACCTGCCACTACTGGTTCCGCCTTCTCCATTTTTCTCAGTCGTGTCTCCGCTAGTCTCTGGCTTCTCCTCAGATTCGTTTTTCCTCCATTTTCATTTTGTTCTCCTGGTGATCTTTCCGTTACCGCCGTCGGGTTTGTTAACGAACGATCGTCCGGTGGTCTCCCATGCCGTGTTGTTGTCGTCAAGAGTGACACCAGATTCGTGTGTTGCGCTACTGTTGAGTCCGGTGTTGTATCCGTTTCTGGTTGTGTTGTAATACTGACAGGCGTAGTAGTAGGCAACGGGTGTTTTCGTGGCCTCCCACGCTTTGGCCTGCCTGCCCTGGCCGCTTTTGACAACAAGGACAATGGGACGTGTTGCTTGATACGTTCGGATACAACACCGGACTCAACAGTAGCGCAACACACGAATCTGGTGTCACTCTTGACGACAACAACACGGCATGGGAGACCACCGGACGATCGTTCGTTAACAAACCGACGGCGGTAACGGAAAGATCACCAGGAGAACAAAATGAAAATGGAGGAAAAACGAATCTGAGGAGAAGCCAGAGACTAGCGGAGACACGACTGAGAAAAATGGAGAAGGCGGAACCAGTAGTGGCAGGTGAAAGTACGGGCGCAGCAGTGAACACGTCAAGGGGAAAGAAGCGATGGCATGAGGAGATGGAGATGGAGGATGATGATGGGGATGAACAGGATGGTCAGGAGGAAAGCAAGGGTGAGCAGGAACAGGAAGTGGAGGATGAGAGTGATACGGACGAGGAGGGGTTCGACATCGACAAGAGCAAGTCTGCCATCTACAAGCATTTGGTGTCCAGTCCGGATTGTCGTAAGTTGTTTGACGATTCCTGGTTTAGTGTTATTTGTCGCGCGCGTTTCTTTAAGCAGTTGCAGGTGTTGGAAGCTGTATATATTCGCACACGTGACCCTGTTCTATGCAAGCAAAAAGAAAATGTTGTAGCACTCACACTTTTTAAATAATACGCACTCACCAGTTTTTGTTCACACGCACTCACAGCTGCCACATTCATCTACTGCTACCATTCTCAGATACACTGCAAAGGTTCACACTACACGCGTTATGCATAACCGCTAGCTGTGCTGCATTCTCACGCTTCTTTTCATATTACTCTAGCTATATTACTGGTTGTTTTAGTGATTCTTACTATGTGACGATGTTCCACTGATGATGGTCACACGAAAACGTTCTGGAATTGTTTCATTTTAATTGTTTATACATGGTTATGAGTGCACAATTGATATTTTTCATTGCTATTTCATGTAACATACATTTGGGAATAAATATCCTATGCTAGTACATAAGATATTCCCAAGTGTATGTTATAGACATGCATTCCATGATTCCAGAAAGTAATTGGTTTGACACAGAAGATCCCTATGTTTTGATATACGACACAAACATGTATGGTAACATGTGGGCCGGGTTGTAGGGCAGGATTTCATAATCCACTCGCGGCACCCTTCTTTATCCAGCAGAAAATTCCATTGCAAAAGGTGCCGGATTAGAGAGGAACGACTGTATGTATAACAAACGCAATGACAACAGTGAGCATTCCCAGATGGCTTAGAGTACTCAACACCACCAGGATGGAGCGATCCAACAAAGGACTGCCTTAGCTCCACTTTGTGCATGAAACGAAGCATTACAACAATTATTTAACCGATTCTCTCTGGTCTCTTCTGCCTTTTTGACAAAAGTCACGAAATAAATCTAAATAACGGATGCCCACAATCTAGTCATGCACAATAAAACCCGGTCAAACGGAAAGGTCAATGCTACCATTTCACCCCTATTCTGAGACAGGTTCAGTTGTCGGCCTATATTTGCAGGCATGGGGCTGGGTGGACTTCATTGAGCAGCACCGTGCCATAGTTGGGAATCACCCAGCGGTTATACCAAGAGTACATAACCCCCCAGAGTGTGCAACTTCCACATACCCTGCTCTCCCGACAGACTTTCAAGTTGAAGTCATTAATTATGGGGCTGGGGAGACTTCATTGAGCAGAACCATGCCATAGTTGCGGATTACTCGGTGGTCAAACGAAGGGAGTAGTATGATGCAGGGTTACATAAGCATAATGACAGAAGTGTTTTGATTGCTTCCGTGTGTGTGGGTCTGAATCTGGCTATACCGATCAGTTTCCAATTGAACTCAGAAACCTCGGTTGTAATAACTCTTGCCGTGCCTATCCATTCGTCCCTGGCTACTCAACATTTTTCTCTCACTCGTTCATATGATCACAATGCAACAGCCTACCTTCGCAGATGACATCATGATGGCTTGCTCCGTTACTATCAAGTAACTCTTCTCTTAACTGGTTCTTGCGCTGCTGGTACATGATATTTTGGTCATCCTCCTCGAGCGATGCCGATATTGAGATAGAGTTGCTGTCACCGCTCGCCATCATCTTGACATCAAGATGGCTTGCTCCACTACCATCATCATGTAACTCTTCTCTCAACTTGTTCTTAACTTGTCCTTGCCCTGAGGATAGGGAGATAGGGTTGCTGTCACCGCTCGCCATCATCTTGACATCAAGATGGCTTGCTCCACTACCATCATCATGTAACTCTTCTCTCAACTTGTTCTTAATTTGTCCTTGCCCTGACGATAGGGAGATAGGGTTGCTGTCACCGCTCGCCATCATCTCAAAATCAAGATGGCTTGCTCCACTACTATCATGTAACTCTTCTCTTAAGTTGTTCTTGCCCTCCTTGTAAATGACATGCTTGCCATCCCTCAAGAAAGATGTCCATATTGTGATAGGGTTGTTGAAATTGCTTGCCATCATCTTGTTGAGCAATGCTTCCATGCAGTCCCGCACGCCCAGAGACAGGGTTGTGAAGGCATTATAGTCTACCACGTCGTATCCTCTTCTCTTGCACATCTGTCGGGCATGCGTCAAGTTCGTCTTCTTCTGGCAGCTGTCACCGTCGAGGTGTGGATGACACGGCAAGCCGGCAAGAGCCATCCAGGTGTACATTGCCTTATCTGTACCCAGGCACTTTGTCTTGAAACCTTAACATAACACAGTGCACATGCAAGACACGGTCAGGTGAAGTAGAACACAACTGGACCACAGCCTAACAAGACGTACACTTGCTCAGTAGGGATACCGCAGTCCATTTCAGAATTTGTTTACTAAAATGATCCCAAATACCACGGATCATCACAGCTATACAGTAAAACCTGGTGTAAGCGACCTCTGGGTTTAGCGACCACCTGCTCTTAACACGGACCATTTTTTCCATGGACTGACAGTTCTACACAGACACTGTGGGACCTGGTTGTAAAGACCACCTGGCTTTAACGACCGCTTTTGCTTGCACCTTGGAGTGGTCGCTGAAACCAAGTTTTACGGTAGTTCTGGTGATGGCAGTCAATTTTTTAATCAGACTTTTCCGCCCTCAACTTTCCTCAAACTTCCGAACAAAACACCTACGTCAGGCGCTATTTGCTTTGTTCCTTGCCCTAAACTGTTATAGTACATATCGGTTATAGTGCGGTCGTGTACAAGAATATGCTGCCTACAAGAATGAACTCTAATATCTTCATAATCGAACTCGCATTGGTTTGTAACGCTGCAAGTGCACCTGACGTGGCCAGGTATCTTGTTGCAGAGCCACATGGACAGACCTATGGGACTATGAACAGCCGCACGTACAAACGCACTACGAATGCATGTCCAATGATCTTCCCCGCCTGCAGGTCCATGGAGCTAGCTGTCCTGTTGTATGGTGCCCGTGGGCCTAGTAAACTCGGACACTGGCGTGTACATAGTGCGGACGGAGAATGCCACAAATGTAAAGACCCACCAAGCGCAGCTCACAGCCAACAGCAGCCGCGCTTTCGACTACAGTAAATCGCCCAATATCCGCGTCACTAAATTTTCGCGATTTCTTAGAACCAACAAGTTTGCGATGGCAAAAGGTCGCGAAGCACAGTGGACACCTACATACACCCACTGTTGAAGCTTGATTTCACGATGGTTAATATTTGCGTCATTTTACAGTATTCCAGAAACATGAACAAAACACGGGTTTACTTCATACGCCATATACTTACTGTTCTGACACTGATCTCCATGGAAACGTTTCCGGCAGATGCAGGTGCCATCTTCGGTGCACTGGCCGTCATTCAAGCATTTGCATGCTGCAGCAGTGATAGGGAATATTCACGCATTTCCAAAGCACACGAAAAGGAATAGAATACCGGACTGTCGAGAAATTGTTCACATGTCCTTGCCCATCATCATTGACGCCTCAAACCAGCTTTTTTAACCACTTACGAGGGTGTCCAACTCACCATATCAATATTTTTGCCGAAGGGGTAGGGGCGCAGCATTGACTTCCGTGCACGCTGCTTTGCACACTTCACGCTTTACACTTCAAGTGCAGAGATGTATTAATTTGTAGCTTCTTCTTTTCTTATTTTTTAGATCAGTTTTTTTACAAGGCAACACAATATTTTAGCTTCTTCGCCCCTTTTGGTGTATTCTAGTTGCAGTGTTCAGATTAGCCAGAATTCTTGTAGCCGACATATGCTCTCCCAATCAGTTTAAAATTATTACATCCCGGCTACAAACTAAGCATATGTTGCAGAATAGGTCGGAGAAGCCCGCATGAGGACTCTGGAGTTGTTTTCTTGTCTTCAAAATACAACATTCAAGCATGCGTGAGAGCATAGGTCATACATTCTCTGACATGCCTACATACATACAGCAGCTTTCTTCAGCCCTTACCTTCTGTGCAGTTAGGTCCATCTAGTCTGGTCGTACATTCGCATAATTTGTTCTTTTTCACCCAGGGATGTGTACACACAACTGCATCACACATCGCAAGGTAGGGGAAGAAGAGGAAGAGAGTAAATCAGCCAGACACGAAGTCAGATAGACTAAAGTTGCATTTGGTTGGGCAATTCCAGAATGATATTGACCACCCGTGATTCTGGATTGTTAATGATAGCTAGCATGCCGTCTTACCGGTAAGACCACGGGTCCTACCGGTAGAACCCAAGAAATCGCGCTGCAAAAGTGCTGTTGCTTGAGAATCTTGTTGAAACAATGGGTGAGATGAGGTTCTTGTAGTACAAAGTAATGGCGCAAAAGGCAAGACTACATCCAGGGCATTGCATATGTGCAATTTTAACAATTTTCAAAATGGGCGCCCATGTTCCTGTCGAAGCGCTTGCAACTGCGTCCAAAGTGAATTTCGACCATGGCATATTGATTGCCATGGCAGTGGAATGCAAAATTCCACACTCTGTTTCCATGGCTACCATGGACTGTTGACATAGAATTTCTTATTATGCCTCGTACGATCATGTCCAAAAAGCGTGGACTCCTTCATTAGCGAGTCAAAGTACTTGTCAGTGCATGATTAAAAAATCCCAAGGGAACTGAAAAAGAATACTTGAAGAAAACTAAATCTCTTCTACTTACCGAGTTGGCACTTGTCTCCGGTGAATCCTTTCGGGCAGCTGCATTCACCTTTGTTGTCACACTGACCCTGATTCAAGCACTTGCATGCTGCAACGCCCATCAATAAACGCATGCACGGAGTGGCATAGAAAAATGCACGGGGTGTTACTCTATGCTTAGTGGAAATCGAGACATTTATCATTTAGTCTTGTCTCCGCTGACCTGGTGAGAAGGCAGAAATGCCTGTTCACTTGGTGAAGTAAAATAAAAATTAACAACAACAACAACAAATTCTTCATTTCACAGAGCAAGCTGTCCGTGGCCAATGCGGATGAGCAAACTCCAGCCATCAACACCACCCCTGAAATCCTCAGTCCCCTTCAAGAAATCTCGACTTCCCAAGCTGAGGTCGAAAAACTCCTCCGCGGAGTTGATACCAACAAAAGCCCCGGGCTCGACTCTATTCCAAACCGCCTACTCAAAGAAGCGGCTAAGGAACTTGCACCGTCGTTATCGTACCTCTTTAATCTATCGTTCCAAACCGGAGAAATCCCACAGGAGTGGAAAGATGCCACCATTTCTCCAGTACTCAAGCCTGGTGACCCAACCCAACCAACAAATTATAGACCCATCTCTCTCTTGAGCAGTACATCAAAAATCCAAGAAAAAATTGCACGTCAAATCCTCTACAAGCACATCACACCCCACCTGCCCAACCAGCAGTCCGGATTCCGCGCGAAAGACGGCACTGAGCAGCAGATCGCCCGTCTCGTCGATACCCTCTCCACTGCGAGAGACGACGGGAAACACGTCAATGCCTGCTTTTTTTTTATCTAAGCAAGGCCTTCGATCGTGTGTGGCATGCCGGCCTTCCAGCAAAACTCTCCCACTATGGTGTCCAGGGCAACGCCCTGAAGTGGTTCCGACAGTACCTGTTGGGGCGTCGGCAGAGGGTGCAGGTGGATGGCGACCTATTGCCTTTCCTCGAGATCCCTGTGGGCGTCCCTCAGGGATTTATTCTTGGGCCGCTTCTATTCCTCGTCTACAACATAGACCTTCCACACGCAAGTGAGAATCCCGGCACCACCTGTAGCCAATTTGCAGATGACACCGTTCTGATTTCCAAAGCGAGAACTCCTCAAGACTGCACCCGAAACTACAGAGTGTCACAGCAGCTGGAGACTGGCTTCAAAGATGGCATCTGCTGGTTAACACAAAGAAAACAGTCATCCTCCCGTTCTACCACAATAACCGCCCCCCTGAACAGCTACCCCAGATCACCCTCAGGAATATTCCGCTTACCGTAGCACAAAAACACAAACACCTCGGAATAATCTTTAAGCATGACCTCCGTTGGACGGAGCATGTTGAATACATAGTCAAAAAACCACTCAAGTCTTTCAATATTCTTTTTAGACTAAGGTCTACACTCACCAGTGATTCTTTATCTCACATCTATCAGACATACATACTACCTATATTCTCATATGCGAGCAATGCTCTCACACCGTTGTCACACACTTCCCTTGACAGGCTAGAACGACTCCAGCGGAAAGCCGCCAGAATATGTCTCCACCTTCCCCTTTACACACACTTAGAACACTCCGACCTTTTGCATCGCATCAAATGGTCAACAATATTTTCACACTTTTAAGTTAAACATATACTCTTCGCGCATTCTCTGCGCCACAATTACGCCCCACCACATATACTCTCGCTGCATACTGCTAGCAACGTGCAACCTTCGTTTAATTTACGTCGCTCTCGTACTTGGCATTGCCAACTCTGCGGACTGACCGCTGTCTCCATTCTCCCCTGTACAAAGCCCTTCATTACTTTAATTGCTTGCCCACCCAGCTTCGCGAAATCCTTTCTCGTTTTCCCTTCAAATCCGAGATATCCCTGCTGTTGCACAACTCTGTATGCTCGTGTAGCGACCACCCCTGCCCGTAAACTTAAGTACACAACTCTGTATGCTCGTGTAGCGACCACCCCTGCCCGTACACTTAAGTAGTCATTAACCCCTAGGCCTTGCCCACCCGATTCTTCCTCACTCTTTCTCCTTTCTTACACTATTATCTCTTATTGGCCACTGGCTATCGTGAGAATAAAGATTTGAAACAACAACATTTGACTGAGATGGGCATGATCGATAGGGCGAATACCGAGCAAGTGCGTTCCGAGCAAGTGCGTGGTCAATTGGCTTAATCTGGCCGAATCCGGAGTAGGTGTACTTGGAGTGGAATCCGACCACACCGGCCCCCAACCCGGGAGTCGCTTGAGTGGAAATGGACGTTGACGTTTTTTGGAAGCCTTCACAGAATCTTTGTACAACATGCGTGCATTTTGCGTACTACACCCTTGCTTTGTTAGATTTGGCCAGCGTTGCTCGAATGTCACTGCCTGCGCGCACTCAATCCAGTTTCGCCAATCGATGAGACCCTTGAGCACGAGTTAATTAACCATTTAGCCGTGGCAATGTCAGCCATCTCCAGCAAATGCTTCATCCGAGGTACAAGGCTTTCCATGACTTTCACATTAACTAAGTGGTCTAGGTGAATTGGGCCGGTCTCTCCGCTTGCATAGATCATGATACCGGATGATCTCCAGCAGTCTTGCTGCGTGTTCTCAGATAAACCAAAAAAAAAGAATGGCTCGGCGTCTTACCCTTTTCACAATATTGACCATAGGTTGAGGTGCGGTTACACACACAACTCAGGTTTGGTCCAAGAACACCGGTCTCACATGTCCCTGTGCAGAACAGGACAACAAAAAGTCAATTGCATTACACTCTAAAGGTCGATTCACAGTACAACTTTCTGCGACGTGACACACAATTTGCGACAGTTGCGACAAGAATCTGCCTGTCGCGAGCTGTCGCAAGCTGTTGCAAAGCACCTGTCGCAGAAGTTGAAGAATGTTGTACGACATACACAAAATGGAGTACTGTTTTGACCCTGGGTGCACATGCAGTGCACGTGCATAGTACTACTAGCGCATAAGGATGTCGTAAACATGAAAACGATAGATGATATGCAATATAACGTGCAACTAGACTTGGGAGGGCATTGCAGAGTAAGTAGTTGCATACAAAGTTCAAAGTTGTACAGTTACCTGTGACTTGTCCTCATGCAGAGCTCAGGGCCTACCGTGTACACATTGTAGTATAATTTGTATGCAACTTGTGTGCAATGCCCCCTCAAGTCTAGTAGCACGTTATTTGGGATATCATCTATTGTGAACTGTGTGTCGCTGTCGCAGCTCGTCGCAGGTGTTGTAAAGTTGGATGTCGCGTCGCAAGAATTTGTATTGTGAATCGGCCTTTACAGTCCCTAACACTTGACATTTTTGATAATCCAAAATGATGGTCCAAGAAACCTTATCATTCAGCAAAAAATTATAGGAACTAATGCGTGAGAGCAGGGATTTTTTCAGTATTTACCCTCATAGGATCTGCCAAGGAGCTAAAGCATAGTGCATTTGACAGTTGCCGTTAAAATACAGCAGGGTGCCAATTGTCAGCCACCCTTCGGGGCACTGGCCATTTCCACGGTGATCAGAGGAGAAGAATGCTCGGTTATGGGACCACTCATACATCTATCACATGCATATTCCAGCAAATTTTCACCATTTTGAATTCTCTTCGGTAGTACAACAGGACCTAGGTGCACTCCAGCTTCTCATCGTTGTACATTTTGACTGAACAACCTGCTGTAAAACATCTTGGGCATCGCTTGAGTGGTGCTCCGAGTGGCAAAAATCAGCAAAACTTCAAACAAAAAGCTACCAATTTTGTATGTTGTCCAGCCCGACCAGGAGATCCGGATAACCGATTGTCCGGATAGTTAACGTCCGCACAATCGGTGTTTGACTGTAAAATAATATCCCATCCTACCCCTCATGCGAACACCTAGATAATATGGCCTGCGCTCCCAGGGTTGTGGACAATCGCCACGCTACACTGCATAGACTTTCTTCCGACAAATAAAGTGGCTTGCGCCAAACAAGCAAGTCGCAATCAAAACTTCGAAATTACAAAAAAAACACAACCTGATCCTCAGTTCAGGAAGGGCTCTCTATATTGGGATCCATTGTGCGTGCAAGGAATGCTTGGATACGACATGTTTGCACGTTGCAAGGTCACATCGTACATAGTGGCACATTATTAGCACAAGCCCTGTTCACACAGTTAACGGTGGCACAGGACACATGTTACACAAATGCACAAATGCACAACAGTATACTCATCGTGCTGAGGTCACACACAAGGGCAGAGCACTACTTGTGCATGGTAAGAGCACTACTTGCGCATGGTCAGCCTTTTAAGTTAAGGAGCCTTGTCTCACTTACTGACACAGAGAATCTGGGCTTGAGTTTTGCTTGTGGCGTTCTGAAACGTCTGCTTTTGTGCGCTAAACATTACGGTTCTGTAAAGGGAACGGCCATTGACTCGGATTGACGCGACGTGGTAAGGTGCTTGCTGGTGCTTATGCAATAAGGCCAACTTCTCTAGCCAGCGCTCTGTTAACACATAGCCATGTTCTTCTAGCCACTCCTTGGTAATGAGATGATATCCGTACTCCTGACATGCGTCCTCTGCGAACTGCTCAGTCACGCTGGGTCTGTGTGCTGGAGTTGCTGCGGCGTGTACCGAATCGTTGGCCTGGAGCCATTTGGCTGCAAATCAAGGGAAAATACAGTTGCGGGTAGAAACACATCATGAAACAAATCTACGAATAAGGGAGGCTTGAAATCAAATGCCCCGCTCCATGACACGTGATCTCATGGATACGGAAGTGCCCAGAGCTAG